TACTGGGGATCAAACTCGGGTCCTTGTGCTTGTGAGACAGGTGGTAGAACCACTGAGCTAAATCTCAAGCCCCGAGATGGAGTCTTATTGTGTTGTCCAAGCTGATCTCTAACTCCTGGGCTCAAGCGATCTCCTCACCTGATGCTCCTAAATAACTAAGACTACAGGCACATGTCACTGTGCCTGGCTTTCTTTTTTTCTTTTTAAAATTAAAAAAAAAAAATTCCCTCTAGAATAATGCCCTCACTAGGTCAAAGGCAAATGAAAGGCTTTATGGGTCTTGAAACCTATGGCTTTTTATAGTAACATTAACCCTTTTACTTTGTTTCCTGTGTGTCCGCCACTTTGGGAGTGCTATGCTGTTTCACAGCCCTCAAGCCAGAGGAGTTTCTGTCTCCCAGGACAGGCTTATGCTTTGGGCTTGTGCCCATATTGCAGCTATGAAGACTGAGGGATGTGGACACAGGAGGTCGCCTGAGTCCATTAGTCTCTGAGACTCCATCTTTAGGCCCTTGACTCCATGGCCTGGGCTCTCCCCTGCCTCACACTGCCATACTGAGCTGGGACCTGGGGTGGTGGCCCTGTCTGGTTTCAGGCCACAGCAGTCTATAGTGCCAGTGTCACTCTGCTGTCTGCAGGTTTTTTGGCACCAAGTGGATGATGTTCCTGGCTGTGGGCATCTACGCCCTCTTTGTCTCCACTAACTACTGGGAGCGCTACTATACACTTGTGCCCTCTGCTGTGGCCCTGGGCATGGCCATTGTGCCTCTTTGGGCCTCCATGGGCAACTACATCACCAGGTGAGCCTGATGGGCAGTGGGGTGGGAGGCTGGAGACTGGATTGAGTCTTTGTTGCTTTGCCAGCCTCTGCTGGGTGACCTTGAGCAAACCACTTCCACCCTCTGGGCCTCAGTTTCCCCACTGGGGCTGGCTGGTTGGTAGACTTGGGTACAGGAAGCAGAGGCGGGCCAGAGATTGGACCAGGGACAGCCTTTGCTCCTTTGTGGCCCAGGATGGCGCAGAAGTACTATGAGTACTCCCACTATAAGGAGCAGGAGGAGCAGGGGCCCCAAAAGCGCCCACCACGGGGCTCCCACGCACCCTATCTCCTGGTTTTCCAAGCCATCTTCTATAGCTTCTTCCATGTGAGTGCCACCTGGGGCACTGGGTGGTGGTAGGGTGATGATATTTTAGGCCCAGAATCCACCTATTGGAACCCATTCCACTGATGCCTCAGCCTTCTGTTCCTCCCTCCCTTTCCTGAGCAGTCCCTGTTTGCTTACCTCTAGCAATAGAGACCTCATCCCTTTTCTGTCTCCAGTACAGACCAGAAGGAAATTGTCCTTTTTTGGGCATCTCACCAGCACTAGGCTGTCCCCAAAGATTGGAGGGCTCCTGTCCTATCAAGGCTGTGCCCAGATCCCTCCCCAGACCATGCTGGGGCCTCATACCTGGATTTGTGTCTGAGTCAGCCCCCATCTGCCCTCTCATCCACAGCTGAGCTTTGCCTGTGCCCAGCTGCCCATGATTTATTTCCTGAACTACTACCTGTATGACCTCAACCACACACTGTGCAACGTGCAGAGCTGCGGTCAGTCCTCATATGGGGGGTTGAGGTCCCCCAAGTCTGCCCAGCTCCCTCATCTGGGATGAGGCTGCCAGTGAGATTCCTTGGGGTCCAGGGTGTGGTCAGTGCAGGGTGAAGTTATAGAGATGGAAAGTGACTGGTGCCCCTCTCCCAGTCTCTGGACAGTAGAGTGAGAAGGCAGAAGTCTTGCTCTGCCCCGGCCTCCGGGGCATAACCAGCCCCTAAGCTTTGTCCCTAAGCTTCAAACTGCTCCCCAAGGGAATCCTTTGCTGGCACTGACCTCACCTGACCCCTTCACTCTGCCTCCACTGCCACCTCGCTGCATTTGTGGCCAGAATGATCATGCACCCTGGTCCGGCTTCATGATGTCCATACTCACACTTCCCAGGCACTAACAGCCACGGCATCCTCAACGGCTTCAACAAGACGGTTCTGCGGACGCTACCGCGGAGCAAAAACCTCATCGTGGTGGAGACCGTGCTCATGGCGGTGGCCTTCATGGCCATGTTGCTGGTGCGGCCCGGCTAGGGTTGGGGCGAGGCTGGGAGTGAGTTTCGAGACCGGGTCGGGGACCAAGGGCCACTCTCCCGGCGTGGACTGAGTCCTGGAGGCGTGGCTGGTGCCTGTGGACCTGAACTGGAGCTGGAATCCCAGCGACCCGGGGTCGGGGTCCGGCTGTGAAGGAGTCTAGGGATCCACCCAGGATGCGGGGGGGGGCGCGGGGGGCGCGGGGGGGCGCCGTACTGGAAGGCAGAGCGAAAACGCTAGGGGCGTGGTTGGGGCGTGGTCGTTGCTAGGGGCGGGGCTGGGAGCCTTGAGGTGTATGGCAGTGTGGAGGTGTGGCCTTGGGCTGAGGGGAGGGGCTAAGCGACGGGAGGAGAAGGGTGGGTTTGGGAGGTGGGGTCTGAGGGGAGGGTGGGACTTAGGCTGTGGGTGTGTCAGGGGCGGGGCCTTTCCTTGGGGCGGGGCCTTGCCTTGGGGCGGGGCCTTGCCTTGGCACGAGCCTAGTGCCTGGCGGGTCAGCCTTCACAGATCCCGTCTGCAGGTGCTGGGCTTGTGCGGCGCCGCTTACCAGCCCACCGAAGAAATAGACCTGCGCAGCGTGGGCTGGGGCAACATCTTCCAGCTGCCCTTCAAGCACGTGCGTGACTTCCGCCTGCGCCACCTCGTGCCCTTCTTTATTTACAGCGGTTTTGAGGTACTCTTTGCCTGCACCGGTCTCACCCTGGTAAGTACAGCCTGCATAGAGTGGCCAATAAAAGAATGTCTTGTTAAACTTGAATTTCATAGGAACAGCAGATAACTTTTAGTATATGTTTAAGTGTGTCCCAAATAGTTCTCTCCCTCTTTCTCTTCCCTCCTTTTACCTTGGGTAAGTTATTATAACCTCTCTTAAATGGCAATGAGGTATCGTCCATAATGTATTTGGTATTATGCAGGTTATATCTCTTTGTGTCTGGGGATATGTGCCACGCATTTTCCCATTTTCCGAGCCGATGCAGCCTTCCCATCAGCCTTGCAGGGAGGTACCACCGAGTAGGTCCAGAGAAGGCAAGGTAAGCCTGAAGTGACAGGTGCTTTCTGACCTCCATTGCTCTCCTCTTGTCCCTTAGGGCTATGGTGTGTGCTCCATGGGGCTGGAACGGCTGGCCTACCTCCTCATTGCCTACGGCCTGGGAGCCTCAGCCGCCTCATTCCTGGGTCTGTTGGGACTGTGGCTGCCACGCTCAGTGCCCCTGGTGGCTGGGGCACTGCTGCACCTACTGCTCACCCTCGGCCTCTTTTTCTGGGCCCCAGTTCCTCGGGTCCAGAAACACAGCTGGATCTTGTATGTGGCAGCTGTTCTCTGGGGTGTAGGCAGTGCGCTCAACAAGACGGGACTCAGCAGTGAGTACTTTTGTAGGCACTGGCATGGCTGGGTGGGGCCTGCGACAATTTCTGGGTGGTCAGGGGGCAGTGACATCCCAGGGACAGACATGAGGTCCTATGGACGCAAGAGGGGATCTGTCACAGCCTTCTATAGATGTGGTATAGGGAGATGGGGATCTCTGTGGACAGTCCAGGGTGGAACACCCACCCATGTTGTAGGGACAGATGGGGAAGTCCCACGGACACTCTGGAAGTAGATATGGGAGTTCCATGACATGGATATTCTGATGACACTCCAGGGTGAGCGTAAGGCCTGAGAAGGTTGGTGTGAGATTTTTATAGATACACAGGGTGGCTGTGGGCTCTCAGGACAGCATACAGGGACAGTGAAAAATGCAACAGGGACAAATCCTGCAAGTCCCAATCGAACTTGGATACAGGCCCCACTTTGGCGGAGTTTCCATGACACTGGGAGCAGATGTCAGGGTTTTTGTCCCAGGGAGTGGATAGCAGCAGGTGGCCCTGACCATGTCCTAGGGCCCAGGTACAGTTCTTTTTTTCATTTATTTTCTGTTCAGTTCTTTCCTTTTCTGATGCTGGAGATCAAACCCAAGGCCTCATGAATGCTAGGCAAGCACTCTACCACTGAGCTACATCCCCAGCCCTTGATCTGGCCATTTTTGTGGGGCGGATCCAGGAACAGACATGAAGCCCCAACCCAGTGTGCCCACTACCAGCAGTCCAAGTCAGCTGCTGGAGGTGAGGCACCGGGAAAGGGCCTGTTTGCAGCAGGTAGGGGTGGGCTTGAGTTCAGCTGTGTGATGCTGTCTGCACTCAGGTTAGCATGTGCCACTGACTTGCAATCACAACATACAAGTGCAGCCATGTCATTGTCCACAGTGGCATGTTCTGATGGGCCAGTGCCATTAACAGTTTTGAATGTCACCTCTGGGCCCTAGGATGGGAATGTTCCTGTCCTGAGCCTGCCAGAGGTATCAGTAGCAAGCATCTCCCATGATCTCCCAGGTGCTGTGTGGGTTTTCTCACCTTAGAACTTTCTAGCACAACATATAGTGTGTATAAATCAACTTCACAGTTGGGAAAAGTAGTTCTGGGGAATTAAGAAACTTGCCTCAAAATACCTACAGAGCCAACACTTGAATCAACATCTCTGTATCCCTAAACTCTCATCTCTGCCACGTTCTAGTTTCCAGCACTCTAGTCTGAGTCTTCTGACTGCCTGGCTGGTGCTCTTTTGGTCCACCCCAGGGAAGATTCTTTGTGAAATAAGCCCCATCTCTTTCAGGTTTGATTTGTAGAAATTTGGTTGCTGGAAACAGTTTGCCCTCCCTCGCCTTTGGACAGAAAGAGTAACAGCCCCTGAAACTTGGCCTGCACACTGGGATTAGGACAAGAGCTTCGAGCTTTCCTCTTCTGGGGCCACACATGTACCTGGCAAAACCTACCTGTGTACAACCCTTGCTTACCTGGGCACCATGGTAACCAAGGTCTCCACTAGGGGGCAGGCAAGGACCAGGGTACTGTATATTGCTCTTTGGATGCTCTGGGGCCCTGGGATGGGACCAGTGCAAGGGCCTAGGAGAGTCACAGGTGGGAGATCAGCAGCCTTGGGCCCCAGGTAACACCTGTCCCCTGCCTACCTGTCCTAATTGCCTGCAGCACTCCTGGGAATCATGTACGAGGACAAGGAGAGGCAGGACTTCATCTTCACCATCTACCACTGGTGGCAGGCTGTGGCCATCTTTGTGGTGTACTTGGGCTCCAGCCTGCCCATGAAGGTGAGGCTGGGTGGGGTTAGGAACCCCCCATACCATGCCCCCAGGCAACAGATACCTTCTGAACATCCTGGCTTCACATCCTCCCAAAGGATCAGTCCTTGAGCCCCCAAGGGCCATTGTGTGGCCCCCAACCCAGCCTTCCAATTATTGCTTCAGCTCCTGCCAGCCTCAGTTTACCCACCTTTGAAGGAAGCCTGGCGCGTGCACCCCAGTCTCCCTCCAGGCTCCTTTGTTGGTTTGTTTTTGTGGTGCTGGGCGTGGAGCCCAGAGCCTCACCCATGCTAGGCAAGTGCTCTGCCACTGAGCTCTATCTATCCCAGCCCAAGTTCTGATACTCTGCTCCTCAGCCTCAACAAGTCAATTTAGCAGGTCCTGACCAACATTTTAAACAATGACACAGTAGAAAATAGCAGAGAATATTCTTGAAAGTACATATATATGTACTCAGGGAGCACAACTGTTTTTGACTGAGAGTTAAGTCAAAAGTCAAAAAGGTCTGAAAAGCATTTCTGTCCTTGAGCTTGCAGGGCAGGTGGCGGAACCACTGAGCTAAATCTCTGGCCCTGTGGCTCACTGTGTTTAAGCAACCAGGAATAATCTAAGCCAGTGACGGTGAACCTTTTAGAATTTTCCATGACAACAAATAGCCCTCTGCAGCACACGTGCTATAGGTTTACCACCATCTTCAACTTTACCCTTCCAGGAAAAAGGGTTTTCATTCTCCCGCTTAGGGAAACTGAGGCTCCCAGGAGTATGGCATTGAATTTTGCCTCAGGAGGGTGCCTGGAAGCCTGGTTGGAGGGATTGGGGTAGTCGAGGGCCAGGTGGGTCCAAGGACCCAGAAGTCATCCTGCCCCTTGCACCTAGGCTAAGCTGGCTGTGCTGCTGGTGACCCTGGTGGTGGCTGTGGCCTCATACCTCTGGATGGAGCAGAAGTTGAGTCGTGGGGTCCTCCCGCGCCAGCCGCGCATCCCGCGGCCCCAGCACAAGGTGCGTGGCTACCGCTACCTGGAGGAGGACAACTCTGATGAGAGTGACAACGAGGGCGAACGAGGTGGAGACTGCGGCCAGGCGGCCTGTGCGGAGGAGCAGGAACTGCAGGGGAGGCTTCCCTTGGGCCCAGAGCCTGCAGGCCTCTGTCGCAGGCCCTGCCCCTACGAACAGGCTCTGGAGGGCGATGGGCCTGAGGAGCAATGAGGACCCCAGGGGCCGACCTAGCTCTTTGCCTTCCTGCTTGTCACCCTCAGTTAACCATCTCAGGTTGAGGGTGCTGGGTCCTCTCTGGGTCCATCAGCCAGAAGGACCCTCTGCGCCATCCCCTGTGTTCAAGACTGCCCCTTCCGGGTCACCTGAAACTTTCGCAGCACCCTCCAGGGTGAGGTAGGCCCTGTGGAGGATAGACCCTCAAGGGGCTGCTATTCAGGACCTTGTGTGCAGCCCACCGCACCAGCACTTGGGCCAGCCCGGGGCAGGGACATTGGCTCGAGCCCGCTGCACCACCCCCTCTTGACTGCAGTCCTGGATCACTTGTGACACGCTTTGCACCTCCCACCCCAAGGTCCTCTCAGAAGCATGACTTTTTATAGAAAGTGAACAATAAAGAGATTTTTGTATTTTCCTGATTGGGAAATCTGGGGCTGTGTGTGGAAAGTGTTACAGGAAATAATACCAGAGATGAAATAAATACTGTATCTCCCAACCTGTTAACTGTGTGATTCCCCGAGTTCTTGTTCTCTAGAAATTGAAGAATGAGTCCTAGGAACAACGGAGGTTAAGAGTAGGAAGATATTTATTGATAGGAAAGGTCTTGAGGGGCAGGAGGGGACCCGGGTTGGAATCCCAGGGAACTCACTTCACAGAGGAGTTTTCTAGGGTGAAACGCACGTGGGTACAACGTGGGCCACAGCCGTGATCATCCAATAAAGTTACAAGCTTAGTCACTTAGGTAATAGAGGTCCAATTGGGAAACAAGTCATGTAACAAGCATGGATGGAAAGAGCAAAGATTCTCTAGGAAGTGGTGGGTCCAGGGGTCTCTGGTCACCCACCACTCTGGTTAATGTCTATCTAGACTTCATTAGGCCCAGAGTTTGTTCTTTGAGGAAGTATGTAGATCTGGTCATCTTGTCTTTATCTTCAGCCAGTGTGTCTCCAGTCGCCGCTGTGGTGTGTTTCAACTTTGTCCTGACCCTCTCGAGGACCTAGCCCTGTCTGACTGCCTATAATATTTCTATCTAGTTCATCTATCTATAACAGAAGGAGAGCACCTGGGATGGACACCTGGGTGCTTTGTGGGAAGCCACCTCTGCTCAGAACTGCGGGGTGTGAGGAGTAGGGTCCTCCTCCCCAGCTCGAGTGCTCCCCCCTGAGCCCGGCACAGAGCCTGTCTTCCCTTCTGGAGCCCTGGCCCCTCCCCACACTCACTGACTGTTCTCTGCATCCATCCAGGAGTGGTGGTATGGTGTGGAGGTGGTCTGACCAGTCCTTTCCGAGGCCCACTGGCCCAGGGGCTTGCACCAGTGTCACCTATACTTTAGCCACCTGCCCCCAGGTCTGTCTGTTGTGAGCATGCCTGCCTATAGCACTCCAAGGGACACCTTTGTTATTTTGTTTGGTTTTGGTTTTGGTTATTTTGAGATAGGGTCTTGCTATGGAGGCCAGGCTGGCCTCAGACTCCCAGTGATCCTCCTGCCTCAGCCTCTCCAGTGCTGAGATTACAGACCTGGACTACCCATTTGGAAGTACTTTGGGCCACATGGGGATCATCCTATGCCCATTACACCTGGGAAATGGTTGTTAGAGCCCAGATAAACTTGTCACTGCCTGGGCCACACCTCAAGCTGGATGCCCAGAAGTGCAGAGGCTAGTGGAAGGGCCAGACCCCCATAAGGCCTCCTGCACATGCTGCTTTCTCCATCCTGCTCCCGTGGTCAGAGGAGACAGAGACCCACTGTGAAGAGCTCTGAATGGTTGAGGGACATTCTTTGTCCTTAAAGATGCTACAGTCTTTTATAGGAAAGACGAAGAAACAAGATATTTCATAAAATATGGCATTAATTATCAGCCAGTCTGGGCAGGCATGCACTTGACAATATTCAACTAAAGACTGTGGAGGCGGGGGGTGAGGGATAGGGTCCTGGGAGGGTCATGGAGTCCCCACCTTCCTCCCCAGAGGTCCTCTCCTGGGCCCACACCATTCCTACTCATAGCCCCTTGACCCCGGGCTGAAGGCCGGACCTGTCCCTGCTTCCTGTTCCCACCCACTTCAGCTCCACCAGGTACCATGGCTCCTCTCTTCTCTTTCTACCCCCACTGCCCACCCTCAAGCCAGACCCTGGCCTCTCAATGATCCAACACATCTGAGCTGAAGGCTCCTTCTCTGTAGTGTATCTCCATGGAGAGAAGTGTTAGACCTTTTAGCATGGTGGCTGCATGGTCCCCAGGCTCTGTAAGAAACTCCCAAGGAAACTCTGTGTGGAAGGTCAGCCTGGATTTTAGCTTCTACCCCTGAGCACCACTCTTGCTCAAAAGGGGAGGCTCTGTAATTTTGTCAGTCTGCAGGATGGAAATTTCAAAATTGTACAATTCCACAAATCTCCAATCTGAGACATCAGCTGTCTTTAAATTCTTACTAGATGGGGAGATTCCTAAAAGAAGTCCTTCTAAACACCTAGAGATGCTAGGTAAGAAACAAACTTCCCTTTAAATACATAGCTGAGAGCTTAAGAAAATAAGCAAAGTTCCCTAGGGCCAAAAATGAAAAGAGAACTGAAAACCAAGTGGTGATCTTGCCGCCTAAGCAGCTGGACCTGCCGCTTAAGCAGCTGCCTGGGCTTGAGATTTAGGGGCCATGTGGGGCACAGATGGGGGTAGGGGGCCCTTACAAGAGAATTGGTATTAAGGCCATGCATAAAGCTGAGACCACAGGAAAATGCTTGTAGGAAAAAAGAAAGAAAACATTTTTACCCAGAGAAGCAGAAACATGTAAGGAAATTTGAGCTTTGGATGCAGAAAAAGTTTCCCATGAGACTTGGAATTTTAGGCCTACTTTATATAAGCTTAAAATCTCTGTAAAGAAGTGACACCATCTATAAGGTCTATGAATCCTGAAGTTGAGACATTAACATTAAAAACTAGTATTTGCCTAATGATACTCCTGCAAAACCAACCCATCAGCCTTTCCAGATGGATCCCTTCAGCCCAAACACTCAGGTCTGAAGACAAGGCCTCTCTGAAGCTGAATTCCCAAACCAAAGTCGCAGGTCACAGAAGGAAACAAGTCATGTAAATAGGACAGCAGAGCCCAAAAGGTGCGGGATTAGACTCCCCCACAGCCCCCACCCATGACAGAGGCTGTGTAACAGGTTTGTGTGATTGGTAACTCCTTTTTTTTTTTAATTCATTAAGTTTATTGGCACATTTTACGTATACAATATGATGACATTCATCATTGGGATCTTGTACCTTTACATGGTATATTTTGGTTCTTATTTTTCCCCCTTTCCCCTGCCCTCCCTTCAACCCCTCCCCCCTTATTTACAAAGACTTTGTTTCCATTTTATCCTTTTCTCATATTTTTTTCTTTACCTTCTTTCCTTTCCTCTACCCCTCCCACTTCCCCTTCCCCTTTAGAATTTCTTCCTGTTTCACATTATCTATTATACATTTTGATCCTTATTTACACTTTCAGTTTCTCACACCAGAGAAACTATTTGGTACTCACCCATGTGTATCCTATTTATTTCACTTAAGGGTATGGCCTTAATGTGCATCCATTTAGCTATAAATGACTCTAGTTTCTCCTTCTTTATGGCTGAGTAGTACTCAATTTTATTAAAAAAACCACATCTTCTTAATCCAATCTCCAGTTGATGGGCACTTGGGTTGTTTCCAAGCATTAGCTATTACAAACTGTGCCACTATAAACATAGGGTGCATATATCACTGTGGTATGATTCTTTTAACTCTTTTGGGAGGATACCCAGCAAGGGAATAGCTGAGTCAAATGGGACCTCTGGTCCTAGATTTTTTTTTTTTTTTTTGAGGTCTCTCCATACTGATTTCC